CAAACAATGAATCGTGGAACACTACATCAAAAGCTAATGATGTAATGTATGGTGATTAACATAACAATAAAAAAATTTAAAAAAAAAAAAGAAACCCCTCAGGAGACAGGGGATTGATAGGCTTGGGGGGAGAGCAACAAAGATGAACCTAACTTCTCCATAGTGTTTCATTTTGTGCAAGAAAAAATAAAAAGTCTTCTTCCCATTATTGATTTTGTAATTCAAATTAATTTCTCAAAATTTGTATCCTGAAAAGAAATGAAAGATCTGGAAATTATATTGTCAATGTGCATGCCTGAATGTTCTATGTATATTCTCGGTTGTACAAAGAAAACTGAATGAGCAAAGAGATGGTGGACAGATACATGTGGGCATAGACTGAACATTGGAAGGACACAGGAAACTATCAAAGGTGGGGATGGGATTGGGGTGCTGGCATAAGACAGAGGCTTATGTGAAATAATAGAAGAGTTTAACCTTTTACTCATCTTGCAATATATATCAAATCCTTGTGTTCTACACCTTAAACTTACACAGTATTATATGTCAACTATATCTCAATAGAGCTGAGAAAGAAAAAAAGACAAAGGCTTATATCCATTGTAAACCAATTCATACTGCTTAAATTTTTACCAAGCGTATAATTGTTTGAAGTTGGGAGAAGCACAAAAACACTTCTCCACTTCACAGAACTGCTCTGCTGAGCAAAGCCTTGAAGTTGAGGGCACTACCTCCAAAGTGTTCGGTCCAAAATCTCCTCTGCATCCTTCAGCCCTTGGCCCCAAATCTGCCCCTGGCCCCCAGGCTCCAGCTCACCACCTCCAGTTTGCCCCTGTAGCTACAGATATTTTTAATAAGAATATCTGACTTTTCAGAATTTGAATTGAGTGGGGAGGAGCAAGATGGCGGAGGAGTAGGAGACCTAAATTTCGTCTGGTCCCAGGAATTCAGCTAGATAGGGATCAAACCATTCTGAACACCTACGAATTCAACAGGAGATCAAAGAAAAGAATAGCAGCAACTCTCTGAACAGAAAAGCGACCACTTTCTGGAAGGGAGAAGCCAGGAGTTGGGAGTTTCCCCTCAATCACCATGCTGTGCTAATGGTAGGAGCTCTGGTCTCTTCTGATTTGTTTAGTGTATATTTTCCTGGGTCGTTGTTACCCTGTTAGCATTTTG